GGTGCTCGGGGAGACAGACCGGAAAGCAAACGATTATAAAATGATGTATGATGGATTACGGTGGACAATGTACTACATAGGAGGGCATCAAAACAAGCCTGCCTGGGCATGGTGGTGCATGTCTGTAATCCCAGGCCTCAAAAGGAAGAGGCCAGAGGATCATGAGTTTCAGGGCAGCTTGGCCTATAGAGCGAGACATGGTCTCAAACAATAAACAAACAAAACCAGACCTATACTCCCTTGGGATCCATCAGGGCTTGAGTCTTCAAGGCTGGATGAGCAGTCAGGGAAGAAGAAAGGCAGGGGACATTTGGGACAGTGGGGGCTGCAGGTGGGAAGCAGTTCTGACAGAAAGGTACGGAGCCAGTCATAGTGACTTCCGCCAAGGCTGGAGCCCAGAGGCTCATGGGAGCTGGCAGAATGAGGAGACTGAGGAAGGATGGTGGAGGCGGATCAGCCCACCTTCCCCTCAACCCAGTCACCCTTCCCTGCCCTCCACATCATTGTCCATCATCCAGAAAATAGCCTCTGTCAGTCCTGCAGATGTGTGTAGGGAGGCAAGGGGGGGGATCCAGGGTAGTGTCTCCAGTTTTTCTGAAAGTTTTGCTAAGCAGTAAGGGACCCCTAAATCTCTCTTTTCCCCCTGCTTCCAGTCCTGGGGCTTGAACTCAGGGCCTGGGCACTGTCCCTGAGCTTCCTTTGCTCAAGGCTAGCACTCTACCACTTGAGCCACAGTGCCACTTCTTGCTTTTTCTGTTTATGTGGGGCTGAGGAATCGAACCCAGGGCTTCATGCATGTTAGGCAAGCACTCTACCACTAAGCCACATTCTCAGCCCCCCCGCCCCATCTTTAATACAAGTAACAGGCTAGCTGCCACATCCTCTTCCCTCCCAGCCCCCCTCAGAGGCAAGTGATGACCCATTTTACAGAGGAGGGCAGAGGCTCAGCGTGTGAGTTGTTCATACTAGAAGTAATAGGGCTGGGATTTGAACCCAGTGTCTGGCCTGGGAAAGAAGGCAAGGTGGGGCTGGAGAAATGAAGGAGGTAAAAAGAATACAGTAGAAACTGGATGAGGATTGTACCTGTAGGAAGGGCAGGAAAGCACAGGGGGGTGAGGGAGCGAGTCCCCAAAACTCTGCTGTAGCAAACTGGAACATTGCTGCTGGATTCTATCACAGCACATGTACACTTCAATGGGCACTGGAGAGCGCCTACTCTGTACCTTTCTTTGAGTCAGGCTTTGGTGGCTCACACCTGTAATCCTAGTTACTCAGAAGCTGAGATTTGAGGGCTGTGCTTCAATGTCAGCCCATGCAGGGAAGTCCATAACACCCCTATTGCCATTTAAAACACCAAAAAGCCAGAAGTGGAACTGTTGCTCAAGTGGCAGAGTTCTAGCCTTGAGTGAAAAACCCAGTGAACCCAGGCTAAGTATGGACACATACCTATACCCCCATGCCACTCCATACCACATATATCTTTTTTGGGGAGGACTGGGGTTTGAACTCAGGGCCTTGTGCTTCTTGGATCTGCTTGATCAGCAGGTGCTCTACCACTTGAGCCATGCTTTCATGAAGCCTGGCTTTTGCTGTTTTTTGCAAGTCCTGGGGCTTGAACTCCTGGCCTGGGCACTATTCCTAAGCTTCTTTTGCTCAAGGTTAGTACTGTGCCACTTAAGCTGGAGCACCATTTGTGGCTTGTTCTGTTTATATGGTGCTGAGGAATTGAACCTAGGGCTTCATGCATGCTAGACAAGCACTCTATCACTAAGCCACATTCCCAGCCCTGGTTATTTTGTTAATGAGACCTTCCAAACTTTTCTGCCCAGGATGGCCTTGAGCCTCAATCCTCCAGATCTCAGCCTTTTGAATAGCTATGCCCTGGCTTTATTTTATTTATTTATTTGGTAGGGTTTGAACCCAGGACCTTGCATATGTTAAATAAGTGCTCTATAATTTAGCTACACTCCCAACCTCAGAACTCACCATTCTCTTGCTTTTGCCTCCTGAGTGCTGAGGTTATAAGCATGTTCCACCACACACACCTCAATGCTGGAAATTGAGGCTAAAGAAAAGAAATTGCTAAAAGTCTCTCAAACGGCAGAATCCAGGTCTCTCTGATGCCAGACTAAGGTTTCTTTTTTTTTTTTT